AAGGGTTCCCTGTTCTACTGCCATTGTTCAAAGACTCTCCTTTTTTGGCTCCGGATCAAACCATGTCCGCGGTCCGAGTGTTTTAATACAAATAGCCTTTCTCTGGTGCCAACTCCAAAAACACAACGTGATATGAGCAAAGCCAGAATTGCAAACAAGACTCCCCCATAACTCATAGCATAGCTTGGCGTCAACGAATGACAACTCCACAACCCCATTCTATTTAGGCCCTCATACCGACGGACACCATCCTGCACCACTTAAACTTGGGATTGGTTTAGTTTATCAGCCAGTGGGCCAGTTTAGTTTAACCTAGTTCACCAGCTTATCGTTTATCGACCTAGTTGTTTAACCTAGTTTATCACCAGTTTGTCAACCAGTTTCTAGACCAAGCGGTTTTCATCCGTCCCGACCGCTGCGACGTGGATTCTCCGTCCCTCCGCACGCCTGGCCGCTTCTGCGGGCTTCGCCTCGATGGACGCCGCTTCGGGCCCGGAGGGCAGAGGCGCCGCCTTGGCAAGCCGCCTCGGACAGCGAGGGAAGCCGAGGGAACGGCGGGCCGGGCCTCAGGGGGGCTGAAGATTCACCTGTCATCAAAAATGGTAGACATGTGCCAGGCAGTATTTATTTGGCCCTGGATGCTGAAAAGTTGCAATCTAGGCTCAATTGAAACCCGCTTTTGATTGTCCAAAGAAGGGGCATGGGACCCCATTCCGCCGAGCCTCCTTCATGCTCCAAAATGCTCCAAATAGGGTCTTGGGCACGGTACCCATTCAAGCCAATATCACAGAAAAACAATATTGGTAACTACTTGGACCCTTATACTACCCTCAGAAGCAGGGAAATGAGGCCCGGGCTAAATATTTGAAGGGAACAAACACCATGTTTAGATGTGAGGCAAACCATTTTGCCGAGCCTCCTGTCTTTAGAGCGCACTTTCCGCGCCCCGTGCAGAGCTCCGGCACTGACAAAGACCAGTGAGGCGGACGTTCCGATGGACAGCCCACCGGCCAAAAAGTGGTCCGGCGATGAGCGGCGCCCGAGCCTTGGACAGAGGGCCGGCGCGCTCGAGTGGTGAACGGAAAAAACCATGAAACGGAAAGAAGATCGAATGGAAAAGGAAAGGTGAGAGCAGAAGTAGAACACCCTGAAAGCAAAAAGAGGACAGAAAGGAATAAGGTCGACAAATAGGAAAAAAAAGACTGGATGGAGAATTCCATCGACAATCGGAGAACGAAAAGGGTCAAACGAATCCGTTTGCAGATAAGGAGCCTCGCCAAGTGTCGAACTCCCGCCTTCCCGAGCACACCGTGTCCGACATCGACATGCCGTGAAGGCAGCAACGGCGCAGGCTGGGGCGCAGGCCATTGCATCGCGAAAGCAGGGTGGGCCCAGTGCTTCAGTGGGTAAGGATAACACTGGGGGAGACAATCCCACCGAAACCAAGTGGGGAAAAAATGTTTTAGGTAAACAAGGTTACCAGTTCCCGCTAATCCTGGTGGAAAGCAAAGCAAAGACCTTGGTTGCCTGCTACTAGAAGCACTACGTCGTAGTCCCTTTTCAAATGGGAAGCGATTGGAAAGGCCTTCTGCTGGTGAAACAGTTGTAGTTTCCCTCAACCCTGGACCGAAAAATCCGAGAGAAGATAGATGGATGTTGAGCTTGCATGCGGAGTAATGTTGAGCCATTCTCACGTTCTGTGACAGGAGCAAGTTGCTGGCGTTTTCTTGGTCTGTGCCCTTGCAAAAACGTTTACCCCTTTTCCGTGCGGGCAAAAACATGACCTTGTCTCTCAAAAGAGGAAAGTGGTCAAACCAAATTTCGCAACGCGTTGCTCTCCGCTGGTGCAATTTGAGCCAAGGTGGTCTCCCCAAGAACCCCCATTTGAACCCCCGACCGAATCTCCGGAACCCTCCCTGAAGCTGCCCCAAACCACAGAGCCTTTCTGGGCAAGTAGGACCCATAGATTGCAGCTGTTGGGCGAAAACAAAATGAACTCCCCCTCCCTTTGGTGGTTCAAAGCCACCAAAGGGACCAAGGAGGAAAGTCCGTTCCCTGAGGGAAAGCTTCCGTGGAATCGCGAGGGTGCACAACAAGGGTTGCTAGCCATTCCTGGAGACAAGCGATGAGGCCCTGCTTGTTTGCGCGGGTGCGCGGTGTCCCCCTTCATTTATCTTCAAAGAATTTGGCAGATTCATGCCCATGTAACGCGTAGTGAGCATGTTTGATGACCTGCAGAGTTGCTTGCGGTTGCTTCTAGAGAATCTTGGCATCATCAAGTTTCAGACATTAGAGCTTCTCCCTTTGGTTTCCGTTCAATTACCAACCAAAAGAGCTCCACCATTTCGGAAACCGCAAATGACCAGCCTTAAAGGGCAAACTGAATTGGACCCCTGAAGCAACGGTCGCTCCAAAGATGGCACAGGCAAAATTGAAGGTTGGTCCCTGAAGGCAAACCAAAGAAAGGATACACCTTTGAGGTCTGTTCACTGTTTAGGAACGGCCTTAAGGAGCAACCCTGACGAAGGGTTTGTTTTAACTTAGGCTCCCAAAAATTCAGATTTCGGTTTTCCGGTTGTGCCATGTTTCGCCTTGGAACCAGCTGACAATTGGCTCACCGCGGACCTCGAGACCCTGTCCCAAACTTTCTGGCGAAAAAATCCCTCCGAGGGCGCCGGATGCTGAGGAAGGTGACCGCAGCACATGCGCCCAGGTAGCCCCAGTGCTCTGAGGTGAGGTCCGTGGCGTCATTGCCCCAGACCCTGCGACGAAGAAGTGAATGTGTGGCTTCCTTTGGGTGTCCCTTCAAACCGACCCCAAACTGCAACCCACAAGACACCCGCCAATCAAAATCAAGCAGGTACTTTTTAAAAGCTGGGTGTGTTGAAGTGTGAGATCCTGAAGATGTACCCTCTAGATGTTGAGCCAAGATGAGTTTAACAGCCTTCAGTTGGTCTCCCCTGCAAGGGTTCCGATTTTGTGGGTCAGCGTGGATCTCGACATGTCCCAGTGCTTACAGTTGCCGCCAAAGTAGGCATCCAGGATGTTTGGCGTCTAAATTGTGCAACCCCGGTCGTCACCTTCTATAGTGGCTTCTGTCCAGACAGCTGCCCAAAAGCAGGGGGACAAAAAAAATATCCGAGCGGGTTTGCGCTTTCTTGCCTGTAGAAGTACTCCGGGAATCTGTAGCTGGTATCGCCCAGGATCTTGGCGCGGCAATACGGCACATACCTCAGCCATTGTGAAAACTCCTAAATGCGGGTCTTGGTGATGGGTGCCCTCAATCCAATGGCAACTACGACAAATTGCTGCTTCCCTTAAACGGAACCTGGTCTGTGGCCATCCCAACTCCCACCTCTAGCAAAGGGGCCCTTTAACCGGCTGCCATCGTTCAACCGCCGTGAGCAAATTTAGGCCAGAGATGGTCCAGGAGATGACTAAGTGGTCAGTCCTCATTTTAAAACCCAGGTAACCTCCTAATCATTTAGCGAACCCCAAACCGTCTATTGTTACGGCCTTGGAGGGAACACGCGGGGTATTCTCAAATGTTACTAGAATGCTAAAAATCGAAATCCATGCATTGACAGATCCTATTATCACATGTGTTTCCCAAACCAGTCTATTCAGGAAGGCTGGTAGGCGAATCCCCCCCGACTTATATCAAGGGCATCCCAAATTCCAAGCTGGGCCTGTAAACATGTGCAAAGGGACCCCCGAACATCACTGCAGCGGACAACGATGCTCTGTAAATGGGTGGTTTAAATAGACACCACCCGAAAAACCGCATCGTTGTGACTTTTTAGAAGCCCTGAAGCCAAGCCGCAGAGCATAGAGCTGGTATGCGATGAAGACGCAACTCAGGCCCTGGAAGCCAAGAGGGTTTCATGCGGCAGAGCTCCGGGGTGCTCTGAGAGGCAAGCTCTACAATCTTGCTGGTGCGATAGCTAGGGAACGAGGGAATCAGGGTTTGCCTGTTCCGCTGAAATGAACAGCCTCCCTTGAAAAGGGTTTCTACACTACCAGGGAGGCTGCTGATTTATCCCACAAACAGTGGAAAAGGCAAACCATGGTGAGGCTGAGGGAATGACTCCGGGGATTCCCTTGAAGGAATCCATAGGGGATGGTTTGTGTCCTGCTGAGCACCAGCAAGCACTGGTCGTCTGCAATTCCTGTTCCGCAGACTGTACCAACCACATGTCCGCCGACATTGCTCGGCGTGTCGGATACTTACTAGAGGATAGAGGATAACCCCCCCCCCTAACCCCCCCCCCGCCCGACGTCTATTACGTAGGTTTTTTTTTGGGGGGGGGGTCCCCCACGTACCGCGCGGCAATTTGATGACGTTCCACTAAACGTAGTCTTCGGGGAGCCGGTGTCGCAAAACAGGGGTCCCAGGCTCGATTCCCCCTGCCGGCTTTTTTGCTGGCTTGGGCTTCCTGCATCCTTTTGCCGAAAATCTGGAAAAACTCAATGTTTTTGGACGTCCTCTTTGCGAAAACGCTGGAAAAACCGTGTTTTTTGCGGGAAATGCTTTCATACATGCATGAATGCATGCTTGCATACACATACATACATACATACATACATACATACATACATACATACATACATACATACATACATACATACATACATACATACATACATACATACATACATACATTCCTACATACATACATACATACATACATACATACATACATACATACATACATACATACATACATACATACATACATACATACATACATACATTACATAACATACATACATTACATACATACATACATACATACATACATACATACATACATACATACATACATACATACATACATACATACATACATACATACATACATTACATACATACATTACATTACATTACATTACATTACATTACATTACATTACATTACATTACATTTACATTACATTACATTACATTACATTACATTACATTACATTACATTACATTACATTACATTACATTACATTACATTACATTACATTACATTACATTACATTACATACATACATACATACATACATACATACATACATTACATACATACATACATACATACATACATACATACATACATACATACATACATACATACATACATACATTCATACATTACATTACATTACATTACATTACATTACATTACATTACATTACATTATTTATTTTACATACATACATACATACATTACATACATACATACATACATTACATTACATTACATTACATTACATTACATTACATTACATTACATTACATTACATTACATTACATTACATTACATTAATACATACATACATACATACATACATACATACATACATACATACATACATACATACATACATACATACATACATACATACATACATTACATACATACATACATACATACATTACATACATACATATATGCATACATTACATTACATACATACATTACATTACATTACATTACATTACATTACATTACATTACATTACATTCATACATACATACATACATTACATACATACATACATACATGCATACATACATACATACATACATACATTCATACATACATACATACATACATACATACATACATACATACATACATACATACATACATACATACATACATTACATACATACATACATACATTACATTACATTACATTACATTACATTACATTACATTACATTACATTACATTACATTACATTACATTACATTACATTACATTACATTACATGACATTACATTACAATTCATACATACATACATACTTACTTACGTACTTACTTACTTACTTACTTGCTTACATTACATACATACATACATACATACATACATACATACATACATACATACATACATACATACATACATATGTACATGCATGCATACATACGAGAGAGGGAGATTGGGGAGAGAGAGGCTTGGGGGGATGGGGAGGATGGGAGCAGAGGGAGGGAGAGAGGACGACAGAACACACAAGGGAGACAAGGAAGAGAGGAAGAAGGAGAAAAGGGAGAGGACAATGTCGGCGGACTGAGCCGAAGGCTCTAAAGTAAAGGGGCTTTTTTGACCAAGGCACGCGTGGGAAAGTGCGGTCCTTGTCCATTGGTTTTGAAGGCTAGGATGTTCATGATTTTTGGAAAGCCGAATTTGGGTTGGTGTTAAGAACCATTGCAGCCCCCCCATCTTGAGAGCCCACATCACACAGGCGCAAGGATTGAAACGTTGGGATGGCGAAGTCCCAAAAGCAACTCATATGAAATTGGCAATGACGCGAGTTCTCTAAATGCAAGATAGTCGTAGCCTGCCAAAGCCTGCTTTCTTTCTCACTCCAATGAAAGCAACCAGATCTCTTTCCCATAAAGAACCGTGTTGGACCGTGGATACATGCGCCGGACAAGAGAAGA